CCTGGGGGATACCAAAGCAATGATTGCTGTGATGAGGTCTGCATTTCAGAGAGAGATGGTCACAAATAGGACTTCAATGAAAAGGCACTATCTGCCACCAAGATTGGAACAGCATCAGTGGATGGAATATGATCATGAAATTGCGACCAGATTGCCGGTGGTCTGGCACATTGAACTAACATAACTGGACTCACTATCCAGTTAATTTCTTCCAAACTATCAACATCATTTCCCCATTTTATCTGGATTCATCTTAACACAATTTATTCCAAGGCATTTGTCACAGTCGCTGGAAGAGCAAAAAAAATGTCAGCTTTCAGTTGTGATGACAATCAAAGAGATATTGACTCTTGGTATATACAGAATAAGCCACCTTTCTTAACTTTCTGTGGATCTGAGAATTTGTGTCAACATTTCTGCCATTTTACCATTTACAGTAAAAACAAGCTGGTGTGATTTGTCTTTTGCGTGTGTGTGTATGTGTGTACATATATGGCTGTGCTGCACTGCACTATATATATATATATCTATATATCTATAAAGAACCTGCAAATGTAGAGTTTGTATTCTTTCATTAGCTGATGTTTTTTGCAGCTTCTTGTACTGTGAAAACTACCCAGATGGAATGCTGAGACTTCACTCAATATTGTGAAATAGAATAAAATTATAATATTTTGAAACAAATAGTAGATTAAAGCAATTTTTCTTGGCACAGGTAAGGATACATAGAGTACAAAAATCAGCATTTAAAAGTTGGCTAATATAAACCGGATTGAGTTTCTTGAAAAGGACTCAGTACACTGTACTATCTGCAACAACAACAAAATTCTTGTGTAAACTGTTCAGAAAACTAATTATCTTGACAACTTAGTTTGTAGATCACAGTTGTTTTGTTTGGTACTTCTCTTTCATAGTGTGCTGATAGCATTCTTCATAGCTTATGCACAATGTGCCTCAGGTGGCATGTGACCAGGATTCATTACTGAATTTTGTCCACTGGTGGGATCATTAGCTTCCCCGGCCCGGCCTGGGTACTGACAGGAAGTGCGTGAAATACCATGTTTGCAGGCTTTGGCAAGATTATCTGTGGTGATCCATGATGAGGCTAGTACTCTGTGGCTCAGAAAGGCAATAGGATGATAGATGGGGCAAAAACTCCCACAAACCAACTTCACAAACCCACAGATCTCTAGTTGAGCAGTTAGAAGAAAACTGCAACATTAACTTTTTTGATACTGTAATATTGCTAAGGTGCATGAGTACTTCTACAATAATTGTGATACAGACATATAAGATACATTTCCTCCTGTCATTGAACAAATAGAGGGTGGATATTATTAGTTTTTTACAGCTTACTATTATTGAATTCTATAGGCTTTCCTTTGAACCCATAGAATTTAATAAATTTTAATCTTTAATTTGTATGTATTCTATATAATTTGTTGTATTTAAAATATTAGCTAGTTTTATGATTACCCAATGTTATTACTCTTTTGTTGTTGGAGATATCAAATATTCTGATGATCTACTGTGGTGTGTTTTTCCATTTACTTTGGTAATATTTGCAAATACAGTCACAAAGCATTCTTTTCTAAGCTTTACTTTTTATTGCACAGCAGGGAAATATAACAGTACAAAAAACAAAAAATACACCCTCTACAAGGAAGTATTTCAATGCATATAATCTTTCCAAGGAATAAAATGGTCAAATTAAATAAACACATCAACTGTAATGATATCACCTGTACTATGTATTGAAAGATAGATTTTTCTTTTGACTCAATGTAGGATCTTTCTATCTCAAGTTTTGATTCTGTTGTATTGAAATAGTTGTTGCTTCTCTTTCTTGTTTCTGTCTGTCCCTTTTTCTGCTAGATCTCTAGCGTGAACTCATTGCCCCACTGAAGTCAGTAGAAGTTTTGCATTTAATTTCAAAGGAGCGAGGTTTGCACCACTAGTCTGGTTGTCTGTGACTTTTTCGTTTAGATTATTGATTAAGTTGCTGTCTGTTCATACGGATAGCTAAATCAGGAGCAAAGGTGTAAGGTATGTCCTGGCATTTGAGAGTGGGAGTCAGTAGTTTAGAGGATTAATATTTCCAGGAAACCCTAGAACTGTTGAAATTTTTTCCAACAGAGCAAGTTTTTTTTTAATTGGAAAATGCTGGTTTGACAGAATCGAAATGTTCCATGGGAACATGTGGTTGGGATGAAACATTTGCAAGAAACCCTTAGGCAGACAGGTTTCCCATGTAATAAAGCCCATGGACATGTGGAGCTTTCCAATGTGGTCCTATTGTAATTGTTGCAGACAGCAAGTGGATACTGAGTAGTTGAAATGTTGGGATTCAGATTTTTTCCATTATAGCCAAGAAGTGTCATAGTCTTGGCTTATTTGTTGTCTATATTCAGGTTATTATTGATGCAAATCCTTTCCTAGAACAATTTCAGACAAATCCCCTAGATGTGTCTGAAGATACTAAGTATTCTGCATCTTCTCTAGCAAACGTCTGAGTGTCTTTTGAGTATTCCTTTGGCCATCTGATCAGAAAGAAATCTTTTATTCTGTGCAGCTCTATTTTTTGACTATTCATTTGATATAGTTTCTGTTTTATTTGCAATTCAATCCCTTCCAGTTCATTATATTTAGTACATTCTTTAAATACAGTCTCAAAACAGTCTGGGGATTAAAGATCAGCATGACATCCACATATATGTAGTCTAATAGTTAACAAACCCAAGATGATATTGAGCTTTACTAGATCCGTAATTGCTTGTGTAGTTGATCCATTGGAGTTGCAAGGAGCATGGAGGAAAAAGGTCAGCATGTGTCTGACTCTTCTTCTTGCTGTGTTTTTATGAGACATCAGTTCTGTTCCCTGGGTGTTTTCAGCAATATGCTAAATGCTCTATTGGCTTTTTCATCCTTCCATACTGGCTTCAACACGTTTTCCGAATTACCTTTTTGATCAGCATAGTATTAAGTTTCCCCAGTGTAATAGTTAGCTGTTTTGCTTTCTCTGGAGGTCCACTTTGCTCATACTTTGTTCCCAGTTGTTTAACATCACATTCTAATTGTGTTCTAGTATAGGTTGTCAGTTCTGAGGAAGGCTGAAAAGAACATGGAGAGAGAGCCATTACATGCAGATGAACCAATAGCCAATAGGATGGACCCATTTACTCCCACAAATCCTTGGGCTTTTTGTATTTGGCAGGTCACACTCCCTGTCCCTTCTGTATTGCCATTAGTCCTGCACACCAAAGGGAAGAAGGTGGATCATTTTCCATGCAGTGTTTGTCAGGTAGTTTTCCTCCTTCCAGGATTTTTCTGTAAAAAAATGCTGTGGACCGTGCCTAGCGTGGATCACAGCTGAGAATGCCACATTCAGGACAAACTGAACAAAAAATAGGGCAGACATACTCCCAAACTGGTGGTTATTCGAACATTAGAATTCACCAAGCCAGTAACAAAATGAGCTCCTGTATCACCGCACTGGGTAACAAGAAGCCAAAATACAGTCCCCTTATGCAATCCAGCCCCTATCGCCACCCAGACATCTGATCTTTATGAGAGGTTACTGAAAAACAGATTCATCATATATAAGGTTCTTCTAATCCCAAGGATCAGCCATTCCCCCAGGTCAATATATATATACTTAGATCTTACCAAATATCATGCGTGTAGCCACTCCTTTAGTAACTAAAAACTAAAGGTTTATTAATACAAAAAGAAAATGAGTTATTAATTGGTTAAAGGAAACGTGTGCATTACAGTTGTTTCAGAGTTTGCAGGTCAGGATAGTAGCAGTGATGTTAAATCTGCTATCTGATAGTAATTCTCTCTGGTTCACCCAAATATATTGGGTGTCATCAGTCCATTGTTCAAAGGTTCCTTTTGTTAGAAATCATGTCCAAAGATATGGGGCAAGATTGAAGACAAAGCAATGATGTCACAGTCTCCTTTTATACTTTTAGCCCAAATGTACGGGAAGTTACTGGCAAAAGATGGAGTCTTAGATCACATGTCCTTATGTGCCTTGCTGAATCACGGGGTAGCCATTGCCTCAATGCTTCTAAAACAGTCTTCAGGAGGGGCTCACTGGTTGATCTGATTGTCTTTAATGGGCCATCAAGCAGGCTGCCTAGTCTAGATGCAAATCTGTCTTGGGGTGTCACCCAAGAAAACAACATGTTTGAGATACACTCTTAGCCAATATTCATAACTTCATATACAAAGATGATACATGGATTTAAACAGGATAATAATACTTATCAATCTATAACTTTTCCATTGATACCTTGCATGACATACTTTGTACAAGATTTATTGCAACTTTGTAACAGCAGTGATTGTATTAGCGTAATTAGTTATCTTCCTTTTTATGCAGCATCGCAGATGTGTCTTGGACTATTTCTTAGTCACTTTGAAATCTGAATGAGTTTTTCTATTAACTCTGATGAGATCAGGATTTCATAGCAGATAGAGACAACATTCTTAAAACAAGCTAATAATTTGGACAAAATGGGGAGTATTTCAGGGATTAAAATCGAAACCAGTTTCAGAATACTGTCAAATGTCTTCTTAAATTAGACAAGATGAACACCTTTTACTTTTGTCATTTAGAAACAAACTGTATTTCTTATGCAAGGAGAAAAATGTTATACATGACTTTCCCTCACAGAAATACAGACCAGAGAATCTTGCTAATCCTTGTTGCAACTGTGAAAACTCCTACAGCTGATTTAATTCAGCAGCAAGCATTGAAAAGTGGGTTTGAGGATATTAAGTGGCTAAATAGAAAAGTAGAATAAACATATTAGAACTATCTTTAGCATTTAACAATCACTTCTTTGGGAAAAGTACTGCACAGCTTTGGGTGAATGTACTTTTCTGTGAAGTAATAATAAGTGCAACGTTTCTTTGAATTGCTGGAGTTCTTTATGCTTTTTCTCGCCATGCTGAAGCTAACAATTTTTGTTTTGTTTTGTTCTCTTTTACAGGTTGCCTTTTTGAAGATGTGAAGAATCCAGACACATTAACTGAAAATTATTCTCAAGTTAACCTTCAAATAAAATACAGAAATATAAGGATAATTTCCATTGGGAAGACTTTCCAGCAAGAGTCATTGAGGGTGCAAAACCTCAGCATAATATTATTTTACTATTTTAGCTTTGATATTTGTTGGATTTTTGGTTTTGAAAGAGCAAAGCCAATGACAGGAAAAAGTTGGTTTAGACAGGCACAAGACTGGAGTTATGAGAGTGACTTATGTCTGAAGGCTGGGGTGACCGTAATGATGACCTCTTAATCACCAAGGGAGAAGAAGTCAATTATCTTGATGGAGCAATGATTTATAGTAATTTACGTATTTTATGTGGAAAATGAAGAATGAAGAACTTATGTATTTTATGTGGAAAATGAAGAACTGGCAGCCAGGAGAGGGTATAAAATATTTAATGTAGTGAATTCTAACTAAGAAATATATTTGCAACTTTTACCACTTTTCTCACTTTTTTGAGTTGGCAGAGGTAATCAGACAACTAGAACTGTAAAATGTAAACTGTTGTTTTCCAACAAACTTATGTATGAAGCATATACATTATTTCCATATTAAATCCTACTCCCTAATCAAGAGAGAAGGTAGTATTTACATGCCTGCACCCTAAGTAAAACTGAATGAAATTGATAATGTATTAGTTAAAGTTCACAAACAAAATGTTTTTGTGATTACTTAAAAGAAATTATCTTGCAACTACAAAAAGAAGGGTGTCTGTGAATATAGGGTTCATAGAAGTTGCTGAACTGACAGTCCTAGAAACAGAAATCCTCTGTTTGCGAAGCATGTGCATCTCAGTTTGTGACAACATAAACTTCCCCACACAGCCCTTCCTAGGTGCCTCAATCCTGGCTTGGTGGGACCATATCTATGGAGTAGTTCAGTCCTTATGGGCCATTCAGTACTTTCTCTTCTTATCAGACTGTCAAGAAAAGTTGACAAGCGAGTTAGTGCTGATTGCAGTTGGTGGCAGTTTCTGTGTTGTAGACACTTATCTACTTGTAATTGGACTGATACCACCAAATGCATTCCATGTGGAACAAATAACCTTGCACTGTTTCCAATTTTAGAGTGGACCTCTCATTCTTTAGTTGTCAGTAATCACTTTGGTCTCCATTGTGCAGAGAGAGTGCCAGAGAGGATGTGTATATATGTGTGGGCAGTGGAGGGAAAGATGAGCTATTCATCTCTGCATAAGCACCACTACTACCCCATAATTCAGCATCCACCCTGTACTCTGCCTAAGCTAAGGATATGGCTGAACTATATGAGAAAATTCATATTGTGGATCCCTTTTATACTGTATATCTGAGCCCTGTATTAACACATATTTGGAATCCTGCCCATTTTGTAACCTTAATCTATTTTCTTATGTGGCCTCAAGATTGCCACAGAATACCATTGGGGCCAAAAACTTAGCAAGATTCAAAAATGAGTCACACATTTATATGGATAACTAGATGATCCAGAGTTATACTAGTTTATGCTACCATACATTTTGGTTAGAGTTATTAAACACCATGATTCAGGTTGTAAACTAATCTCTAAGTATAGGGGTTACCAGGTGACCGAATATAGGATGCAAATTAGCCCACGTTTGTCTATTCTGTTTTGTGCCTTCCCCTGAAACATCTGGTGCCGTCCGCTTTTGGAGACAGAATATTGGATTAGCTGAACCATAGGTTTGATCCAGTCTCACAGTTCTTATGTCCTGAAGATGCTTGGGAGAAACATTTCTACTGAAAATAGTGGAAGAAATCCTGTTTGTACAGGCTGGCTTTTTTGCAGTACTCATCTTTAAACAATTAAGAAATACGAGAGACAAGGTGGGTGAGGTAATATCTTTTATTGGGCCAACTTCTGTTGGTGAAAGAGACAGCTTTTGAGCTTACCTCACCCACCTTCTCTCTCTTTAATAATATAACACAGCAACTACATTGCAAACATTAAGAAATAAGAAAGCTGTGAGCTTGTCAAAGGACAATTCTTTAAGAGGAATGGGTTTAGAGGGAGAGATTCTTGTTATGAAGAGCTTCTTTTAAAACCCTGGGATTTCAGGAGAAGTCAGCACTTCCTTTACATGTTTCTAACTCATACTGCAAGTTGCTGAGCGTCTCCTGAGAGATATGGGATGTAAGTGGAGGTTAAGACCACTCAGCAACTAGTTTAGGCCCCATCTTACTTTTTCCTCATTATTTTAGATTTGAGTATTCAAATAAAAGCAGAAGTGTGGCATTTTTCACATATATATTCTGGGGCTATATTGTGTACTTCCATGATAATTTGTCTACATAACAATGGTGAGTCATTTTGATTTTTCTCTTATGAATACAATTAATTTGTCACTAATTTTTTTCCATTTTTGTTTTGCTCTGTTGTTTGCTGGTCTCTGCTTTCCAGAATATGATTAGGCCAATAAAGGAGGGAAAACATTGAAATGACAGATTGCTACACTGTGATTGTAAAGCCACTTTCCTCCTATTTAAATGCCTCCTGTTGTGATTTTGCATCAATAGAGCAATCTGCTCCAGAGAGTATTTATGCTTTGTATGTTTAAAATCTGTCATCGTGTCAGTTTCTCCTACATAATATGGTATTAGGGACATAAATAGTTAATATACTTCTAATGGCAAATGAGGTTCTGAGATGGCAGGTGCAGGCAAATCATTAACTTGATTTATCAGCAATACAGAAGAAAAAATCTGCATAAAGTGGGGCACTATAAATAAATATAAATCAAACCCCTCCTGGCTAATTTATCACTCTCAGAAAACCTTGTAGAATATCACAGTGAAATGTCATGCTTCTAGTGTGTTCAGCTTGAAAGGATTCCTGGGGAAGTATATGAGAGAGGAGACAGCAGAGGTAGCATTAGGCCAAATGTGCAGCCTCACAAAGCCATGCTCTTCGGGAACCCTTTTTTTTTTTTTAAGCCCGGTCTTTGTCCCCATACCAGGAAGGTGAGGGTTGTGGGCTGCCAAAGACGAGCATTTCTGGTTGTGGTTGGGTTATCTTTCCTGCAATTATTAAGTTATTTGGACAGGTACCTAGAAAACCTCAGCCCACGTACAGTAATGTATAAATGTATCAGAAGTGTTCTTGTCTGAAAATGGGTTTATTTGCCAGTATTCAGAAGAAGGGGAGAAAAGTCAATAATGTCCCCTTAAGAGGATTCATTGTGATGTCAGGTGGTGCATTATTCAGACTGTAACTGTTTTTATAGATGAGTTGGATCTTTTTTTTTTCTTTTAAATCTTTCAGCATTTTTCTTTTTCTCTTTTCATAGGCACTGGTGTACTTGAATCCTGATGAGTTCAGTTGTTGCCTTTTTAAAACTCATCAATGATAATGCTTTATAAAAATGTAGCAATCTTCATGTGAGCAGGTTATTTTTGCACACTACTTCTTGTCACAACATCCTTGGGATTATTCACAATTAATGGTAAATCTAATGTCATCTTTTAAATTCCACATGTATATGTGTCCAAAATAGAAATGTTGCTTATTTTTCAAGTTGATAAAGGGTGCACATCAGAAGACCTCATACACAGGAACAAAAAAATTTTTTTTTCCACAATACCTACAAGCCCTTAGTTACAAGATTTAAAAAAAGCTTTTCAATTCTGCTTTAAAATAAATAGAGTGATTCTGCAGATAAGCATTTTGGGGTTAAACACACACTGCAATAAAAGCTATAAAAGTGCAGTGTAGACGTCTGGTCTCAAACCAAAGCTTGGATCTCTACGCCCGTTGGATAGGCCTGCAGCTTGAGCCCCGTGAGCCTGAGTCGGCTGACACAGGTTAGCAGCAAATGTTTTATTGCAGTGTAGACATACCTTAATATGCTTTTGTCAGTTCCCTTGTCCATATTGTGCTGTCTTTCAACAGTTAATTGACTGTTAACTTAGAATAAATCTAGATAAAAACAGTGTTTGAAATGTGAGCCTGAATAAATATGGTTTTAATTTAATTGTAAAACGCCACTTTGTCCTTTTCTATTACATTACATCTGAGGATTTCTATGCATTTTACAAACATTAACATACGGTCTGGCAGAGCTGCAAAACATATCTAAATCTGCTGAATATAGAACCTGTCCTTTAAAAATGTGTCAAGCTTCATTCATAATTTGAAACTATGTTCTCCTTTAAAACTGTTAGCAGCATCACAGAGGCCTTGATCCTGCTGTGCATAGTGAGTTGGGATGACAAGGTTGCTTCACAACAGCATAAGTGTGAATGGATCTTAAATATCAGAACAAGTGAAGATAAGCAGTGGAGGGCGGGGGGAGGTAAGGCCTCAGCTGCCTTTGACTTCAGTGGAGCTCTGACAATTTATACCAGCTGAGGATCTCGCCCTAGGCCAGTTCCTCTGCACTGGATAGACATAAGTCACAAACCCTTAGTGTTCCCTCTTTCTTGCCTTCAACCGTGTAGAATTTTTTAAAAGGGTAGCGTGGGCATGGGGCATGTCTAAGGAGACATGGCCTAAGTGTGATCATCATGCTATTGGTCTGAAGGGTCAGAGCAGCTCATAATTACTGACCGCTGTAGAAAGGCGTTGGCTGCAAAACAAGGAGAGGGGAAAGAGAAATCCAGTCCATGCCCTTCAACGCTGGACGGTTAAATTCTAGATTAACAGGGATATTGAGTTTACAAATTCATGCAGTGTCCTGGCTCTTCTCCGAACTGCTTTGGCAACTTTGTCAGCTGTTGCACTGTCTGTGGCTAATATGAAGGATGAGACACACAGTGATCCAATTGTATAGTTAGTATAGGCTGTTTTCTCAGATTACCAGACATGCCCTTTACTGGGTTTTGATTTATGTGGACCTAATAAGAGCAGAGCAAGCATGGTCCTTTGTCTGAGCTTTGAAAGGAATCTGAGTATGGGACAATTTACAGCTTGTGCTTTGTCGCTGAAGAAGAAAAGCGTTTTTGTCAAATTGCTGGAACACATATCCCAGAATTGATGAAGCAAACTGAAAATGCACTAAATTAAGGGTATCTTTTAAATAAATGGCTATTAAGAGGGTTTGAGCCACTATTTTAGTTGATTCAGGATAATTATTAAAATCATATTTTGAGCCTGTGATGTGCAAACATGGCTTGACTGTTGTGAGCTCTTATCTTCAATAGACAAAGAGCAATGTTCCAGTCCAGCAAACACAGCTGTGGTGGATCTGGCATTTATGCAGTTCTCTGCTTAGCTAAGCAAACAAGGCGTGGGGGAACCCAGTAGTATACCTGTGAGCATAATGCAGCAGTGGGCTCCAGAATATGCTTAAAAGTAAAATAAACTAAACCACTTTTTTGAAAAAGGAATTATTGCCTAGTCCTGCAAATTTTTTCTGGACAGCTACAGGCACTGTGAAGAAGTATCGGTAGTGGGTGAGAGGGGATTAAATTTGTGAATAGAAATGATTTGTGAATAGAAATTTGTGAATAGAATATATATATGATTTTCTTCAGTGCCACCATGTGACTGGAGAGTATATTTTAAAAATATACTACAGAGTTATTTCACAAATATATGAAAACACTGGTTGTTTTATGATGACACTTTATAATCTGCATCTTTTCCCCTCTTCTAGATTTTGGCCCCTTCTTCTAGAATTCAGCAAGGCCATTAACATTTGCCTAACTTTAAGCACTTGAGTAGTCTTCTTAAAGTCTTACTGAATTAGGGTCTTTATTTTCAGTGATTTTACCAATCTACATGTCACTAGTTTCCATTTCAACCAAATACTGTCAGTAATATATAACTCAGCAGTTTCTTTTGTAACCTAATTGTCATAGCTGCTCACAGCCACAAATCAAGTTTATGATAACAGGAGCAAAATAATTATCATCTCCAATGACCATGATACTGGGGGGTGTTTAATTAGTTTCTCTAGATAGCTTCTCTCCTTCCTTTCCTCTGATGTGTTGCAGAATTACATCGCTTTCGTACTATCTCTCTTCAGCAAAAGGCAATTTTGTGAAGTGCATTCCCGACTGCACTGATGAAGTTAGAACAGTTTGGCACAAGCTTGGAGATCAAGATGCTGCAGTGAAAAATGAGCTCTGTCAACAAAAACTGATTTGTAATCATAAAATGTGGATGAGGTGGTGAATTTTGTACAATCTGTCGGTCACCCACTTTCAGGTGTATCCACCACCCTGAGGGAGCTGTTACTTGTCAGAAATATCTGTGGACTCTAATCTGTCAACACTTGTTCAATGTCAAATTACATCAGAGCATGTTCTTTCTCATCTTTGACCGCAGCAGCTTTCCCTTAGTGATCTCCTTGGGCCAAATGAACTTTAGAAACAATCTTATCTGAAGCTTTGCAATCATTTACTCTCCCCATAATGATGATGAAAATATCATTGGTTGGTTTTCAAGGCCTCAGCTATACAGTGTCTCTCATTTTTATAATTCCTTAGGTATTGGTCATGTTAGGTACTCAAAAACTGCTGATTCTTTGTCAAAGCAGATTTATTCTAATCTGATACTTATTAGTACATCCACTAGGAGATGACCTCACACCCTGGGCCGCCTATTTAAAAGCCATGCGTGTGCTTTATGGCTAGCCTCAGACGCTATTACAATGGCAGTTTATTTAGAGGGAGTGTCTAGCTGCCATGTTTCTCATGTGTACCGTATGGCATAGTGTCTCATGCCACATATTAAACAGAGTCAGTAGCTATGCAGTGTACTTGTGGTCACTTGATCTCTGTTGTGTTCTCTCTCTCTCTCTCTCAACTTTTTTTCATCTAGTTTGGAAAAGGGCTCCCTGGGACATTTTGATAAATACATATATTAAAAAGGTTAGTATGTGTAGTATATGTACAATTAAATCATATGGAGAATTTGCCCTCCCCTAAATCACGTTTACCCTTACTGGCAGTCTCAGTGGACAGATCAAGAATAGAGTGGGCATGGAGACTTAAGCACCCTTTTCATCTCTAGACATGGTTCTTTCATAAAAGAGATGATGCTCCTTGGTGGACACTTGGGGAAGCTTGTCATGCTCTGGCTGCTGCTTTATCTCCATAGAAGATGGGAAGCACATGATCCTCCAGACCTCTCCATCCAACATCTTTTCTGATCAGCACAGAAGGATAATCCAATGGTTATGGCACTAGCCTGGGACTTGAAGATCTGAGTTCAATTCCCTGCACTGCTAGAAGCAGAAGCTGTTTTGCCTTGGGTCCCTCAGTTACCCATTTGTAAGATGGGGGAATATTAGCACTTTCCTACCTCACAGGGATGGTGTGAGGATAAAATACATTAAAGGTTGTGAGGTGCTATAAATACAATAGACTGATAGATCATTAATTCACCCTGTTTTTATTAAAAATGTCTATTTTAACCTCCACTAACAATTGCTAGGCATTTGAGCACATATTTGAAATGCCTCTGTTCCAAGTGTCTGCTAGGAGATTGTTATTTCTTTCTCTTAACTTGTAATGCATTTATACTCTCTGTGATTTATGTAACTACGAATAAGAGCTGAAGTGCTACACCCAGGAGACGATAGATTGTGGGCGTATACCAAAACTATTAGCCTAGAGCTAAATCTTCAGCACTATAATCCCCAATACAAGGTCTTTTGAGAGAATGCTTTAAACATGGATGTATTTAATATTTTTTGGAGGAGTTTCATTACTTTGATATGTCTGAATGCTCTAACAATAACTGACGTCTCCCTTTATAACACTCTGAGATCTTAATGACATTAGATATTATCAGTCACAGTTTATGCTGTTGGTAGATCAAGGAAATAGTAAGGTTTCTATTGCAAATGGAGTTTGTAGACATATTTAGGCCTATTTGCTGATGAACCATATATGATGCTGGCAGACCAGCTGCCCCAGACTTCACTGAACACTTACAAATGCATAGCTAGAAACCAGTCTTGCTTACCTGTGTTAGCACTATCAATAGAGATATTAGAGTTGATAAGAATGTGTATAATATTTAAACCTTATAAAATACTTGTAGGATGCTGCATGTATTGATCCCACTTATAACCTCTGTAGCCCATGGTATAAAGTTATATTGAGCGTTTGCATTGTAAACCTCTGTAATTGTGTAACTCCCCAAACAAGAGAAGAAGCATTAAGTAAGGGACAGTGCTCACACTGAAGGCCAATGAGGTATTGCGTAGCATCAAAGGACAGAGGCTCTTTTGACTACATTACTAACTCCCTGCAGGAAGCAGAGACCTCCACATGAACTCATCCCATCTGCTTGAAATCTGGGGTTGAGGGGATAAAAATCCCTGACAAGGAGCAACTGTAACTCTTTTGTGCTGTCTGGACGCTGAGGGGCAAAGATTTCTAAACATAAGCAAAGAGATCCCCTTGCTTCTTGGCATGGGTTAGCCCTGAAAGACATTTTGAATTGACGGATTACTACAACTCTGTCACCTTTTGAATCACAGACTGAAACTCACTTATGTGTATATATATGCTTGCTTGCTTTAACCTGTAACTCACTCTCGTTTCTTTTTCTGAGTTAATAAACCTGAAGTTCGTTTATTACAGGATTGGCTACAAGCCTTTGTCTTTGGTGTGAGATCTAAGGTGCAAATTGATCTGGGGTAAGTGACTGATCTCTTGGGACAAGGAGCAACCTGAATACTTTGTGTGTGTGTGTCTATAAGTGACCAATTATCACTAAGTCCAGCTTGCCTATGTGGCAAGATAGACTGGAGAGCCCGAGGGGACTGTCTGTGACTCCATGGTAAGACTGTTACAGTGATCCAATAATTCACATTTGTTACTGAGTTGGTGAAATCTAATTATAGAACATACAACCAGTTTGTGCCCTGGCTTTGGGACAGTCTGCCCTGAGGTTGGCACTCTCAGTCATGAGCCACTCCAGTCATCGTGACACCATGATTTTATGATTGTCTACAAAATTCTGCTTTCTATTATTCTGCAACATCTTATATTTACTCACATTGACTTAGAATTAATCCATTTAAC